AGGCTCCCATGCGGGTGCTGCTGCCCTGGGCTAAGCTCTTCCCCTACCTCGTCCTCTAGCACGGCCTCGGCCTCGCCCTCTGCCCCTCATGGGAGCTGCTGTTGGGGGCTCGGGCTGCTGGTCAGTGGATGAGGAAGAGCGTATTCTCGCCATCTGCGAAAGAACAGAGTAGAATTTTAATTAGCATTGAGAAACCAATCCGTACGACATGATAGAATAAATGTGGAATGTTTCATAACTCTGTAGCCTTTGGGATAAATACAAATATCTCTGTACTGATCCCTCAGACTCTACTAAGCTTGTCCGTGAATTGTGAAACCTATGTAACCTAGAGCTTTGATACCAACTTGTCACGACCCAGATTTTCCACCCTCGGGAGTCGTGATGGCGCCTATTCGTAAAAACTAGGCAAGCTACTAAACATAGAAAATTTCTAACTCTTTCATTTTTAACCCTTTTTAACAATCTGAATTAACATGTATCCAACATTTAGATATTAACGATAAATGAAATCAAACGGAAGACTTAATCTAATATAATAACCAAGACCAGTACGATAATGACAACACACATCTCTACCCGGAATCCGGTGTCACAATATCACGGACGGACTAAGATTACTACAACAAATATCTGAAAGAAATACAATCTGTCTCGAAATCTAATGAAAACAGAGTATATAATAAAGTAGAAGAGAACGCCGGGCCTGCGGACGCCTGCAGGACTACCTCGGGATCTCTGGCTGGACTGAAGGCAGGATCCCCAAGTGCTACTATCCAAAAACTGCTCCAAAATTTGCACATAGTGCAGAGTGTAGCATCAGCACAACCGACCCCATGTGATGGTAAGTGCCTGGCCTAACCCCGGCGAGGTAGTGACGAGGCTAGGACCAGACTCCAGATAAACCTGTGCAGTTATATAATATACAGCGGAAAATAAATAGGAATAAACAATTAACATGGGAGGGGTACATGCTACGAGGTAAATATCGAATCCAGCAGAAACTTAAGAGAAATATGAGAGAACAATTCAGGATTTACAACAAAACCATAATAACACTATTGCGGCGCGAAACCCGATCCCTATCATTTAACACTGTTGCGACGTGCAACCCGATCCATTTATATCACTGTTGCGGCGTGCAACCCGATCCAATATAATATTGTTGCGGCGTGCAACCCAATCCAACATAACATTGTTGCGGCGTGCAACCCGTTCCATATATAGTATTGTTGTGGCGTGCGACCCGATCCAACATAACATTGTTGCCGCGTGCAACCCATTCCATATATAGTATTGTTGCGGCGTGCAACCCCATCCAACATAACATTTATATACCTTTAGCAACAACCATACCAAGAGTCCCAACAAGGGATCAAAATAAGCTACACTATCCCAGCAAGGGATTCGACGGTAAAAGTAAATACGTCCCGACAAGGGATAAACAGCTATAACCAATCTTAACCCAACTTCTACTCATCTCAGCTAACACCAATACTCAATCATAAGTAATTTCCATGAAAACAAACTTTATCCTTGCTCAATATCGAGAATCATCAATTAAAGCATCTGTAGTACTATTTAAAAACACAAAATAAATTACAATTTAAGACTCACGGTCATGCTTGACACCAACGTATAGATACTCGTTACCATGCCTATACGTCATACTCAACAAGAAGCAAATAGCAAATAGGACACAACTCCTAATCCCTCAAGCTAAGGTTAGACCGAACACTTACCTCGAACTTCCACGACCAACTCAAGCCTCAAACACCGTCTTTCCTTTTGAATTTGACTCACAATCAATTGTATCTAGACATAATCAACTTAATAATATCAATAAACGCTAAACAATCCAATTCCAATGCTTAATTATAGTTTTCCCATCATTCTTCCAAAAAAGTCAAAAATTGACTCCGGGCCCGCTTGGTCAAAACACGAGGTTCAGACCAAAATCCGATCACCCAAGAGCCTAAATATATATTTTGTTTTGAAATCTGACCCCAAAACGAGGTCAAATTCCCAAATAATCAAAAAGCCCTAACTCTACCCAAATCCCTAATTTTCTACCCTTAATCTCATGTTTTAGGCCTAGAAATCTAGTGGGTGTTGATAAAAATGAAAGAAAACGAGCTTAGGATTACATACCTATGAAGCTATGGTGAAGTTCCTCTTCAAAATCGCCTAAGAGGTGTGGAGAAGATGAAGTTTATGAAAAATGTTGGAATTCCCGTAATACATTCTATTTTTGGAACTTAAAATAACTGGGCGAATTTGCTCTATGCGTTCGCGATAGGCTCATTGCGTTCGCGATGAGCTAGGCCTGAGAGACCTTTGCGTTTGCGGAAATGGGCTCGCGTTCGTGGAGAACTAACTCCTCGAGCCTTCGCGTTCGCGTCCAGGTGGTCGCGTTCGCATAGGTAAAATACCCCCCTGCCCAGACTCATAATCCATCGCGTTCGTGTATGCTGGGTCGCGCTCGCGAAGGGTATCCCCTCCTTAGCCTCGCGTTCGCGGCACCAGCTTTGCGTTCGCGAAGAGAAATTTGGCACCTGGGAGATTTGCCTTACGCGTTTGCGAGTGTGCCCACGCGAACGCGAAGAGAAAAATCCCTAGGCACTAAACAGCAAAAACCTGCAACTTTTATGAGTTCAAAAACCTTCCGAAACACACCCGAGCCCTTGGGGCTCCACACCAAACATACGTACCAACTCAAAAACATCATATGAACTTATCCGTGCGATCAAATCGCCAAGTTAACCCCTTAAATCACACTTCACAGAATAATCTTAAATCACCCCTTAAGATACGGATTCCGTTTCTTACCAAACTTCACAGAATAATCTTAAATCACATATAAGACCTGTACCGAGCATCAGAACCAAAATACGGGCTCGATACCAACATGTTCTAACAAAAATTCATTTCCAAATCCTTTAAATAATTTCAGAAAATAATTTTCTTTAAAAATTCATTTCTCGGGCTTGGGACCTCGGAATTCGATTCCGGGCATATGCCCAAGTCCCATATTTTCCTACAGATCCTCTGGGACCGTCAAATCACGAGTCCGGATCTGTGTACCCAAAACGTTGACCGAAGTCAAATTAATTCATTTTATAGTCAAAATTTATCATTTTTCACAAATTTTCACATATAAGCTTTCCGGCTATGCGTCCGGACTGCACACGCAAATCGAGGTGATGCTAAAAGAGATTTTTAAGGCCTCGGAATGCGGAATTCACACTTTCTTCTTATTCGCGTAAAACCAGAATCTCTTTCTTCTATTTCTTTCTAGTCGAAGGTTCACCGTTGGGCTGCTTAGAATGCTAATTGTTGTGGTGAATATTGATTTGGTGTTGAATACTGATAGTTGTTGTTTAGGAGCAAAAAGTGGGATTTTGTGTATCGGGGTTGCTATGGCATATGGCCTCTTCCAGTATGAAAGATGTACTGCTTGTTTTATGTGATTTTGTTTTATCACTTTATGTGTATTGTTGGAGTTCCCAAAAGAATTAAAATTAGATCAAGTAATGTACATTAATTAACAATGATTAATAGAGTTTATGAGTTAAGCGATAAAAATTTATGGGCAAATACTCTGGCTATCTTAGACTAATTGTTTCATACAGAATCACAGATTTTAGTAGCAATTGCTACGGATTCTTTCATCTAGTACATAATACCTTCCATTTTTTCATTATCACAAATATCTTACTGTAAGAATTAGTAATGTGATTATGGATTGCTTTCAAAATATGTAATCGGAAAATGTTTCTTTGGATTTATTCTCTATCTTTTGTAAAAGTTGCTATCTGATTCAAGAAATATAAGTGAAATTAGCCTCTAAATTGTATAATCATGGTTGAGTGATCTTTCTTTTTTAAGCATCTTGATCTTATTTTATTTTTCCTTATAGGAAATTTTGAAATGGACAAGACTTGGATGCGCTGTAACGATAGATTGAGCGATGTATATTTAAAAGGAGTTGAGGATTTTCTTCAATTTGCTTTTAAGCGCACAGAACCAGAAGGTGAAATTCCTTGCCCTTGTAATAAATGCAACAATGTTTTTCACAAAACTAAAGACAAAGTAAAGAAACATTTAATAATTTTTGGGATAGTCAAGAGGTGCACTCGTTGGCTTTTTCATGGAGAATTTGCACCCAAAGAGCAAATCACTAACAATAATGAAATAAGACAAAAGGAAGTAAGAAAAGAGCAAGGTGATGATATATTTGAAATGATTTATGATGCTACTGGCCCTGATATCAATTCTGGTGGGGTTGATCCTTCTGAACCAGCTTCGGAATTTTCTAAATTACTGGAGGATGTTGCACAACAACTTTATCCTGGTTGCGAGAAATTCTCCAAGTTGTCACTGATTGTGGAGCTGTTCCAAATTAAATGCCTTCACGGATTGAGTGATAAGGCAACTGACTGCATAATGAAGTTAATTAAACGAGCACTTCCTTCTGGTGAAACTTTACCCGAATCATTCTATGGAGCAAAAAAAGTGATTCGAAGTTTAGGTCTTCGTTATGAAAAAATACATGCTTGCGACAATGATTGTATGCTGTTTTGGAAACATAATGCAAAAGTTGAATCTTGCTTGGTTTGTGGTGAGTCTAGGTGGAAATCAAGGGAAGGTCAAAAAGCTAATGGGGCTACTACAGAAAAAACCGGGAGCAAAATTCCTCGAAAAATTTTACGTTACTTTCCTTTGAAACCAAGATTGCAAAGGAAATTTACGTCATCAGAAATAGCTTCAGACATGATATGACATCATGATCAACGTTTGAAAGATGGGGTTCTTAGACATCCAGTCGACTCAAATGCATGGAAACATTTTGATACATCTAACCCGGGCTTTGTCAGAGATCCTCGTAATGTTAGACTTGGATTAGCATCTGATGGGATAAATCCTTTCGGCAATTTAAGTGTTTCTCATAGCACTTGGCTAGTAATTATTACTGTGTATAACCTACCCCTTGGATGTGCATGAAGCAACAATATTGCTTCTTGTCTTTGTTGATGCCTCGCCCTAAAGCTCCTGAAAATGATATTGATGTGTACTTAGAACATTTGGTGGATGAGTTGCAAGAATTGTGGTATAATGGAGCCGATACATATGATGCTTCAAGAAAGGAGAACTTTTGTATGCGGGCAGCACTCTTATGGACTATAAATGATTTTCCAGCTTATGCCTACTTGTCTGGATGTAGCATAAAGGGAGCTTTGGCTTGCCCTTCATGCAACAAAAAGACTTTGTCTACTCGATTAACGTATGGTCGTAAGTTCTCTTACATAGGTGCTCGTAGGTTTTTATTGCCTAATCATAGGTGGCAGGGAAATAAACGTTATTTTAGTGGGGAAGTAGAAAGAAGACATGCTCCAAAAATTCTCTCTGGAGATGATATTTTAAACCAGTTGGATAGCTTGGAAGACATTAAATTTGGTAAGACCCAAAAGAGAAAAAGAAACGAAAAAAGTAAAGGCACTCATAATTGGAGGAAGAAAAGCATCTTTTTCAAACTTTCTTATTGGAAAAATAATCTAATACGTCACAATTTAGACGTCATGCATATTGAAAAAGATGTGTGTGACAATATTATTGGGACGTTGTCAGATATGGAAGGAAAATGAAAGATAATTTGAATGCTCGTTGTGATTTGAAGAAAATGGGTATAAGAAAAGATTTGCATCCAACTCAAAAAGATGGAAAGTGATATTATCTAGCAGCATGCTATAGTTTATCACCAGATGAGAAGTCTAAAATATGCAAGTTCTTGAAAACTATTAAGGTTCCAGATGGATATTCTTCCAATTTATCACGATGTGTAAAGTTAGAGGATCGTAAAATTTATGGACTGAAGAGCCATGACTCTCACATTCTTTTGGAACAACTGCTTCCTTTTGCAATCCGCGGAATCCTGCCAAACCATGTCTATGCTGCTATTACCGAGCTAAGCATTTTCTTCAGAGAGTTATGTTCAAAAAATGTACGAGTTGATGTGTTACTTGCAACTCAAATTTCAATTACGTTGAGCAAAATAGAAAAAATATTTTTGCCAACATTCTTTGATATTATGGTGCACTTGGTCATTCATCTTCCACAAGAGCCCAAGATTGTTGGACCTGTACAATACAGATGGATGTACCCAATAAAGCGGTATGTTTTTCTATTTCACAATTTCAGTTTAATTTGTTGTGGCTTGTTAGTTTATCATGCTAAGAGCTTAACTTAATTTATCATGCTAAGAGTTTAACTGCCTCTTATATCATGTAGATTCTTGCGCAAATTGAAATGTTATGTTCGTAATAGATGTCGACCTGAAGGATTTATTGCAGAAGCGTATATTGTTGAAGAAAGTTTAATATTTTGTTCAAGGTATTTACATGGAAGTGAGAGAGGGTATAATCCAGTGGACAAAAATTATGAAGGTGGTCATGCTGAGTCATGCAATGGATTATCAATATTTGAGCAAAAGAGTTGCCCTTTATTAAGCGATACATCTAGAACTCTTGAAGAGGTTGAACGAAAACAAGCTCATCTTTATGTTTTGAGAAATTGTGAAGAAGTTCAACCATTTCTCGGTAATGTTTTTCTTTATGCTATTGTTTCTACAATAACATCCAAGCATTTATAAGAGTTTGAGTTAGAAGTGTTCAACCATGAAAGTTCTTTTTGGAATTGTCCGGTGAAGACAAGCACATGATTTCTTGTTTATGATCTTTGTTTAAATCTCATCAAGTAAATCTTTCCGATTCATATTGGTTACAACTCTTTTTGATGATTTTTTGTGGCTATAATCATCTTGGTGAAAATGCCTTAGTAAGAACTTTATTAGTCGAGGAATCTACTATATCGTGCACATTAGATATGTAGCATGTATTTTCTAATTTCCATTTAAAAAGTTTCCTTTGGGTCTGTATGGTAAATAATCAAATCATCACCTAAAAGAAAATGTCAAACTCTTCTCATGCTTTTTTTTTTCGAAAACTTTCCTAAAAATACATGTTGATACACCATTTGGTGTCTTTCGTGTTTTTTCTTTTCGGTATCCCTAGACTTCTATTACTACTTATTGTTGTCTTTTATTTTCCATTTTTTGATTGCATTACCTACTACTAGTTTTGTATTTTGCTTCGGTTGTCAGATCAATTTGCTTGTTATTGTCCCCCTTCCCTCAGTCGAGGGTCTACCAGAAACATCCTATTTGCCTTCTAAAGGCATGGGTAAGGTCAGCGTATACTCTACCCTCCCAGACCCCACTTGTGGAACTACACTGGGCATATTGTTGTTGTTGTTGTTGTTTCTTTATGGTATTATATATTGCGAATTTAATTTGTTAGCCCTTTCTCATTATTATGGTTATTTTAAACAGTGAGTACGAGAATACTAGGAACATGAACTTCGTTGATTGGTTTTTCCATCGAGTAAGTTTTCACTATATTTTTAATGTTATTTATAATACTTCTTTAGCATCATTATTTTATTATTTATTTTTATGTAGATCGTGCAAATGCGCAAGAAAAAAATTCACATGCAAGTTGCGGGTTGTATTCTTTGGCTAGAGGTCCTTTTGATGGAGTCCAAAGATTCAAAAGGTATGAAATAAATGGTTTTAGGTTTCATACTAAACAATTGGAAGGAAATAGAGTGAAGCAAAATAGTGGTGTTTTAGTACAAGGAATAATGAATGGTCAAAATATAGATTATTATGATGTTCTGACTGAAATAGTAGAACTTCAATACCCTGAAGGCAACCGAATTGTTTTATCTAAATGTGATTGGATGGATGTCGATCACATTGGGAAAGGAGTGAAGATAGATAAACATAGCGTTGTTAGTATTAATACTAATCGAAAGCTAGTAACAAATGAACCATTTGTACTTGCATCTCAAGTAGAACAAGTTTTTTATGTCAAGAATAATCTTCATCCGAATTGGTCCATTGTCTTGAATGGTCATTCTACTTATTTTACGGGTGGTGTTGTCAGTGAAAAAACTTTTCAACAAGATGCTCAAGATTTCTCATGTACATTTGAGAAAGATGAAGACTTTATAAATTGGAGAAGAAATGATCTCGATGTTATCAGTACTGATGTTACCTTAGCTGATGATATTATTGAAGACATCGAATCAGACATGAAACTGATGATGAAGATTTGTTACTATAAATATTTAGAAGTTTTAGATGCATATTTGGTTACACTCAATTAATGTTGATACTTTTTCTTATTTGATCACCTGAGAATTTCAATACTTGAGCTTTTGCCATGCTCATGCAATGCCGTTAATGGCCTGAGCTTTGTTGCTTGTCGTCCCAATTATAGTATGTTAAATTTTATGCTTCTTTGTTTAATGAAAATCCAGGCATGGACACCTGAAATTTAGTACGAATTTCCAATTCATGTTCTCCCTTATAAAGGGACTAACAAGGCAATATATGGGATGGATGTTATGAGATTGTGATGGGATTGCTTCTGTTAACTTTAGTTCCTTTTCTAGGGTGGTTTCAATCAGAATTCCAAAATCAGCAATTTTAACCCAGAGTAGACATTTCTACTTTCCAGATTTTAGAGTAGTGTATTATTAGTTTAAGATTACTAATATGTGTGTATTATTATATTCCTAATGTAAACACAGTTTTTGTAGTAGGTTATTAGCATTTATCAAACTACTATAAGAACATTATTTTGTGTGGAGATTCTAGTTGTATATTGTAAAAAAGTAAAAACTAATTTTTTGTCTTACTTGAAATAATGTTTTTCTCACACTAAGCTAAAGGGAGTGTTCTTTAGGTGGTTGGCTTATGATACTCCTTTAAGGTTGAGGCCACTTAGCCTTTTCTTTTCCAACTATTACAGGTAAGATAAGAAGAGTGTCGCATCGCAAGTTTAATTTGAGCACCCAAGACATGGTTCTTTAAGATTTCTTCCAAGGAAAAGAGCAGCACGACACACCAGATTTTTTGGTAGAAACACAACTGAAAGATTACTAGTTTAAGATTAAAATATATATAGCACACATGAACAACTATATATGTTGATGTTAATTCTTCAATGGTGGCATTGTTTTACTCCCACAGTAAGCCACCTTTGTAATTATGTATGAATTATTTTCAGCATCTTTGGACCATGTAGATTCCATGTTATATATAATTTTAGCACATCACGATTTCAACACGAATCTGTAATACATGTAGCTACTATGACAAATAAATGTAGCTATTATGTCCCAACAAGTGCTACGAGTTTTGAAAATTGAACCAAGACTATTCTTTTAGCTATAAAATATGTGCAAACAAATACATTGTGGCTAGAATATTAACATAGCTACAATGATGTCAAATGCATAGCAAAAAATTAGAATTAACTACAATATTTATTGTAGCTATATAAATTCGTGGCTATATTATTTTGCCATGATATTCCATCGTAGCTATTGACCCCACTATTGCATGCTTTTTATAACTTGAAGCAAAGATGTTCAATATTTTATTTAACATAATTTGTCGTGGCTAAAAGGCTATTAGTGCTACAATAGTTCAAACATGTGGCAAAAACTAATAATCAGCTACAAAATTTTAGTGTAGCAATAAATTTGTAGCTATTTAGGCAGTTATTGCCACGACGTAAATTAATTATAGCAAAAATGAGGTATTAGCTTTGCCAATTTAATTTTTGTAGCAAAGAAATTTCAGCAATTTGTGAATAGCCACGAAACTCTAATTTTTATGGCTATTATTACGTAATAGCCACAAATTTTATATTCGTAGATGTAGATGCATTATGTTGTAGTGCGGAATTCGGTCTCACAATTCACGGACAAGCTTAGTAAAGTCTGAGGGATCAGTACGGAGACGTCTGTATTTATCCCCCAGAGGCTACAGAGTTAGGAAAAACTTCACATTTATTCTTTCCTGTCGTGCTGTTTGGTTTTTCAATGATAATTGAATTTCTACTATGTTCTTTCGCAGATGGCGAGAACACGCGCTTCCTCATCCACCGATCAGCAGCGCGAGCCCCCAGCAACAGCTCCCATGAGGGGCAGAGGGCGAGGCCGTGCTAGAGGTCGAGGTAGGGGCAGAGCTCAGCCCAGAGCAGCAGCACCAGCGGCGGAGCCTCAGATTGACTTTGATGATGAGGTTCCATCCTAGACAATTCCGTTGGGCCCAACTCAGGTCCTAGAGGGGTTTATTGCTACCCCAGGGATGCTCTGGTCCATCTAGTGGGCCTTATGGAGAGTGTCACCCGGGCAGGCTTGCTTCCTATAGCACCAGCCGTCTCTCAGGCTGGAGGATTAGCCCAGACTCCTGCTACTCGCACTCCGGAGCAGACGGATCCCCAGTTTTAGACTCCAGTAGCTCAGCCGGTTGGAACAGTTTAGTCGGGTGTGGTAGTTCAGACCGGTGAGGGAGTAGCTATGTCTGTCAATGCTTTGTGGAGATTGGACAGGTTTACCAAACTCTTCCCTACTACTTTCAGCGGTGCATCTTCTGAGGATCCCCAGGATTTTCTAGACAACTGTCATGAAGTTCTCAGGAACATGGGAATAGTGGAGACCAATGGGGTCGATTTTGCTACTTTTCGCTTATCTGGATCCGCCAAGACTTGGTGGAGAGATTATTGTTTAGCTAGACCAACCGGATCACCAGCTTTGACTTGGGAGCAGTTTACTCAGCTATTTTTGGAGAAGTTTCTCCCTATTACTCAGAGAGAAATCTATCAGAGGCAGTTTGAGCGTCTTCAACAGGGTTCTATGACTGTTACTCAGTATGAGACCAGATTCATCGACTTGGCCCATCATGCTATTATCATACTTCCCACCGAGAGAGAGAGAGTGAGGAGGTTCATTGAGGGACTTATCCAGCTTATTCGACTTCAGATGGCCAAGGAGACTGAGAGTGAGATTTCTTTCTAGGAGGCAGCCAATGTGGCCGGGAGAGTTGAGATGGTTCTAACGCAGGGAGGTGGTCAGGGGCCTGACAAGAGGCCTCGTCATTCAGGGCGATTCAGTGGTACCTCGTCTGGAGGCAGAGATTCATATGGTAGAGACCATCCTCCTAAGACTTTTTAGTCAGCCCTTCAGGTTTCTCACGGTGCTTTAGGTGGCAGTGGTTCTCATATGTAGTATTCTGATCAGCAGCCCTACAGTGCACCACCAGCTCCTATCAGTGCGCCGCCGCTCCAGAGTTTTCGGGATGGTCATTCAGGTCGCCAAGGTTAGTCTCAGTTTCCTCAGTCGTAGAACTCAGGTGGATGCTTTGAGTGTGGTGAGTATGGTCATATCTGGAGGGCTAGTCCGAGATTGGTGGGTACTCAGTTGCAGCAATAGGGTTCCCGTGCTATGGTTCAGGCACCAGGTGTTCTGCAGCCCGCTCCGCCAGCTAGGGGTGGGGGTAGAAGTGCTAGAGGTGGAGGTAGAGGTGTTAGAGGTGGAGCTAAGACTGCTAGAGGTGCAGGCTAGCTAGCTGCAGGCCGTCCCAGAGATGTAGTCCAGGGTGGTGGGGCCCAGCTCCGATGTTATGCTCTTCCAGCCAGGCTTGAGGCTGAGGCTTCCGATGCAGTTATCACATGTACTATTCTAGTTTGTGGCAGAGATGCTTCAGTTTTATTTGATCCAGGGTCTACATATTCCTATGTGTCATCTTATTTTGCAACGTATCTGGTCATGCCTAGTGGTTCTTTGAGTGCTTCTGTATATGTGTCTACACCGGTGGGTGATTTTATTGTGGTAGATCGAGTCCATAATTCTAGTATAGTTGTGATTGGGGGTCTTGAGACTCGTGTAGATTTGTTGCTTCTAGACATGGTTGATTTTGATGTCATACTGGGGATGGACTGGTTATCACCTAACCACGCTATCTTGGACTGTCATGCCAAAACTGTAACTTTAGCCTTGCCGAGTTTACCGAGTTTGGAGTGGAGAGGGACTCATGGTCATTCTACCTGTAGTATCATTTCTTATGTGAAGGCTCGGCATATGGTTGAGAAGGGGTGTTTGGCCTATTTGGCATATGTTTGTGATTCTAGTGTCGAGGTTCCTTCTATTGACTCTGTGTCGGTTGTTCATGAGTTCCCTGAGGTATTTCCTTCAGACCTATCGGGTATGCCACCCGACAGGAATATTGACTTTTGCATTGATTTAGCTCCAGGCACTAAGCCCATTTCTATCCAGTCGTATCGTATGGACCTGCCTGAGTTGAAAGAGTTGAAGGAACAGTTGCAGGACTTGCTTGAAAAAGGGTTCATTAGACCTAATGTTTCTCCTTAGGGTGTGCCGATGTTGTTTGTTAAGAAGAAGGACGGATTGATGAGAATGTGTATTGATTACCGGCAGTTGAACAAGGTTACAATCAAGAATAAGTATTTGTTGCCGAGGATTGATGATTTGTTTGATCAGCTTCAGGGTGCCAAGGTATTTTCGAAGATTGACTTGAGATCTAGCTACCATCAGTGGAGGATTAGGGCATCTGATATACCTAAGACAGCTTTTCGCACTCGGTACATGCATTATGAGTTCTTGGTGATGCCATTCGGGTTGACAAATGCCCCAACAGCTTTTATGGATCTGATGAACCAAGTGTTCAGGCCTTACTTGGATTCGTTCGTGATAGTCTTCATTGATGATATTTTGATCTATTCCCACAGCCGGGAGGATCACGAGCAGCATCTTAGAGTGGTTCTTCAGACACTGAGGGATAGTCAGTTGTATGCCAAGTTTTTGAAGTGTGAGTTCTGTTTGAGTTCAGTTGCATTTCTAGGTCATGTTGTATCTGTAGAGGGTATTCAGATTGATCCGAAGAAGATTGAGGCAGTCAAGAACTGGCCTAGACCAGCATCAGCTACAGAGATCTGGAGTTTCTTGGGTTTGGCAGGCTACTATCGTTGGTTTGTGGAGGGGTTTTTGTCTATTGCAGCCCCGATGACCCGGTTGACCCAGAAGGGTGCCCAGTTTAAGTGGTCGGACGAGTGTAAGGCAAGCTTTCAGAAGCTCTAGACAGATTTGACTATGGCGCCAGTGTTAGTTTTGCCCACGGGTTCAGAGCCTTATACGATTTGTTGTGATGCATCCCGGATTGGACTTGGTGTTGTGTTGATGCAGGATGGCAAGGTCATTGCCTATGATTCGCGGCAGTTGAAGATTCATGAGAAGGGTTCATGATTTGGAGTTGGCAGCCATTGTTCATGCGTTGAAGATTTGGAGGCATTATCTAT